ACATGGACGATTTTTCTCATATAAACTCTCCCTGAAAATGCCTTGTGTGAGCTGGGGTGAGTGTTGTCTCGGATACTCGCAGTCAGAGTTTGGCAGACATGACTTATATCCAGTCTGGATTTATTTCAGGGTATCAGTCAACGAATACATGCCGCTGCCGCTGCACAGGGGGCCCTCACATCTGTTTAGAATATGAATAAAAGATTAAGCTGCCTTTAACGCGGATCTACCGTTATCTAGACGGAGGTGAGGGTCCCCTGTGCCGCTGTCCCCCCAAAAACAGAACGCCAGATGGCAGTTAGTCATTGGCTGCTATCACATTCCGCAGTGCGATCTGACTCATTTAGGTCTGTCTAGCTGATACGAACGGTGTAACCACGCAAGGTGCTTCCATGTAGTGCCAAAAGGATGATGTATTTTAATCAGTCAATTTAAGTGGTCGCCTGATATCTCTCTGCAATGGTTTTGTTAAAGTAGGTTTCCCGTAAAAGCAATGACCTTAGCAATCAATATATGTACCCGAACTGACTGATCAAACGTTCTCTTCAATTCGCAGTTAACAACGCCGGCATGTCAGTATTCTCTATTTTTGAATGTGTCTCGATGGAGCTGATGAAAAAAATGTTTGAAGTAAATTATTTTGGCACAGTCCGACTAATTAAAGCCGTGATTCCATTCATGAAAGCTAAAGAAAGCGGGCTGATCATAAACAACAGTAGCCATGCAGGGGTGGCTGGGTTTCCATCTGCTGAAACTTACAGCTCCACGAAGTTCGCCGTGGAAGGATTGACGGAGTCTTTAGCCCCCACACTTCGCCAGTTTAATATTAGGTAAGTGCAGCAAATTAAAACCCCTTACTCCTTTATTCTGTTCCGAGAATTGTGTGTCATATTTTATTAGTTGGTAAACTAAGTAAGTAAGAACTTTATTTAAGTGTCAATGTATTTAGCCCATGTGGGCTAACAGTGGACACTGCGTTAACTCTACCTAAAAGAAATTCATCAATAGTATTATAAGATTCTCTTAAAAAATTAAAATTGAAATGTTGGCAAACAATGAAAGGAAATATTTCCTTATCTCTCATGCTGCTTAAATACATTGACTAACTAATAATTAGACTACAAGTCCGAACTGGACTTCTGTGAGCAAACAGTCGACGAATAATCAAATACCATTCCCAGCCTAATTGCGCCCAAATCTGAGTCACATATTTTTGTTTGTGATTCCAGGTCCCAGTGACTTAAATCCAAATTTCCCTGAGAAAAAAAAATAGGCAAATCCCAGTTCCCATATATTTTATCCCCCTATATATTTTAGCCCCCTCTCATAACAGAAAAAGGAACCATTGTTAATTGCCCTTTTGTTCTGTAGATGCGTTCTCATCGAGCCAGGTCCCGTGGACACTCCAATGAAAACCGCTGTAATTTCCGAGGGAGTGGACTACTCAACGGTGGACCAAAAATCTCTACTCATAAAGGAAAGAGTCAGCAGTAGATGGGCTAAATATTGGGCTCAGCCGGAGAAGGTGTTGAGCGCAGAACAAGTGGCAGAAGTTGTTAAGGAAGTAATTCTAAGTGAAAACCCGAACTTTCGGTACCAAACAAATAAGCAATATTGCCCTGATGAGATCGCAGCCAAACTTGCAGATATTCATGGCAATAAGTCCGTTGATATAATCACGAAAAGATTCTGTGATGAGTGATGTCTCATGTGCTATCGCCAGCTTGAGTTTGCAATTTAACCCACTGGCATAACTTAATGGTACTTTTAGCTTTGGGAGTGTAGTAATTAGCGTATCACGACTATAGTTTTCAATTCATTTTTTCTCATCACTTGACAATGTGATGATACTGTAACGAAAAGTGGATGATTATTAAATGTTTCTGCGTTTTGCAATGCTTCCCTGAAGGCGA